CGGGGAAAGATGGCGACGGCCGAGAAGCAGAAACACGACGGGCGGGTGAAGATCGGCCACTACATCCTAGGGGACACGCTGGGCGTCGGCACGTTCGGCAAAGTGAAGGGTGAGGGCGCCCGCGCCGGAGGCCGGCCTCCGCCCGGCCCGGCCGCCTCCTCCCCGCGCACCTTCATCCTCCCCGCGCCCCGCGTCCCTCGTCCCTCGTCCCCGGCTCGGCGGCCCCGTCCGGCTCCTGCGGGGAGCGAGCCCGCGGCTGCAGCCCGACCGCGGCGCTGCCCGGGGCGGGCGGGCTGGTGGGCGGGGGCCGTCGCCATGGCTACGGCGCGGCGGCGGAGGGGCTGCGCCGCAGCCTCCGGCTCGAACTTTCGCAGGTGCGAGGGTCGGACGCCGCCCGGTCGCCGGGCCTTGGCTCGCGGCTGAGCTCCCGGGGCTCGCGGCCAGCCCGCCGTTTCCCCGCCGTCCTCCGGGCTGTGCATCTTTCCACCCCTGGCGGGAGGCTGTGGACTTGCCTGTTCAGGCTGTCGGCTGAGTGTGAGATGTGTTCTTCCAAAAGTAAGGTTGCTCTGGGGGAGCCTGCAAAACTAAAAAAAGCAGAACGACTCAGACTGTTTTGTAGGAAAGTGCCACTGATGACCTTCACAGCAGTCATGGATATAAACCGGTTCTATATTTGCGATGCATGGTTTGTGTTCTGAGGGCTGAATCTGTGCCTTAGTATGTCCAGTTATTCGGAGATGTGTGGTTACTAGAATTTTTCTTTTTTCTTTTTTGTACCGGGGATCGAACTCAGGACCTTGCATTTGCCGGGCAGGCGCTTATGCCACTGAGCTATAGCCCAGGCCAGTGTGTAGTTACTGAGTGCCGACCCTGGCGGGTACAACAGATGTTGCCTCCAGATGGTGTTTACTAGTTTTTGTAGTACAGTTCGTTTCCATTTACTTTCACAGGATATTTAATAACAATTTAGTGAGCATCATTTAAAGTTTTTGTTGTGAAGAAAAGTAGATTATAACCAGACATATGCTGGCATATGCCTGTAATCCCACCAGTCTGGAGGACGAGGCAGGAGGATTGCCAGTAGTTCCAGGCCAGCTTAGACCTTGTAGTCAGCTCAAGGCCAGCCTGAACTACGTAGCCAACCTTGTCTTAAAACAAACAGACCTTCAGAAAATCTAAACATAAACGTGTAGAATCTCTTTTATCCTTATATGGCAACACAGGTGTTCTGGAAATAACAAATGATCTCTAGTCCCCCAATTTTAGCACAGAAACTTTAGTTGAAGTTTATTTGTTTTGTTTTGTTTTTGGTGCGAAGGACCAAACCCAGGGCTTCCAGCCATCTAGGCAAGCGTCCTACCGCTGAGCTAAATGCCCAACCCCCACAGAAACTTTAATTGCAAGCTTTGTGAGGCATACTTTTTTTTTCGTTTAATATGTTTGGCTTTGGTGGGGTGTGGTGGCACATACCTGAAATCCCAGAACTCGGGAGGAAGATCATGAGTTTGAGACCAGCCTGGGTTACAAAGCGAGCTTAAGCCTAGCCTGCACTGCATAAGGAGACCCTCTCTCAAAAAAAGACCAAAAAAAAAAGGTTAATTTTGTTATTGAAGACATAGATGAAATTTGGAACTGATAAAAATAATTCATGCCTTGGCTTTGGAGAGAATAGATTATGTCTTGCGTATACTAAACACTTAGTAAATATTTGACTTGAAGGAAAAAAAAAACTGTAAAAGTCTGTACAGTGAGTTAAGTCTTGCCCTCCCAGAGCTAAATAAACATTTTCTGATTTTATCTAGGTATGAAAGAGTAGAACCCTTCCTTGTTTTTCCCTTTCTGAGTTGTAGAATTGGAAAATGGCTGTATAGCTCATAGACAAACAAAGACTCAGTTCCTGCCTAAACCTTGTTAGGAGAATCAGCAAGGCCTACACCCAGGAGCTGATGTCAGTCTGCGTGGGTGGCTCGTGTTTGCTCCCAGCGCTCTTGAGGCTGAGGCAGGAGGATCACTGAAACTTAGAGGACAGCCTGCTTTACCTAGAGAGGTCAAGGCAAGCCTGCACTACAAAGGGAGACCCTGTCTGGAGCAACAAAACACAACAAAAACAGCAATGATTGAATACTGTAATAACAACTGCTAAAGTGGATACATATTTAGGCCAGTAAGCTGTTTTGTGCCCTTGAAGTTTTTTGTTTTTTAGCTTTTGCTATGCTGTCTTTCTGCTTGTTAGCAATTGTAAATTGCTTTTTAATGTACAAGTATTCCTAAGAAATGCTCATTAATGCTTCTAAAATAGTAAGACAGTTTGTACCCCTTCCCAGAGTTCTTTGATATGGTTTCCACAGTTCTTCTGAAGAGTGAGGTTGATTTTTTTGTACTTGATAAGTCTTCTAGTACACCAAATAGTAAAGGAGGAAGAGATTTTTCCTTTTCTGGATTTGATCTGTGATGTGTCTGACATGGATGTAGTGATTCTGCTGTTTCTTTTTCTTTTTCTTTTTCTTTTTCTTTTTTTTTTTTTGATTCTGCTGTTTCTTAATCCTCTCCACCCACACATTCCTCTCTTGAGATACTCCTGTAGTCTCTCAGTGTCAGCAACCTCTCCAAGTAAAGAGGGCCAGTCTTAACGGTTCATATGTTAAAGGATCATATGTTTCATGGCTATGATACATTCAGAGCAGCAGGGAGAGTTTGATGCCAGTCTGAATCTGTGTGGAGAAATTTATTCATAAGCATCCACAACCACTTCATTTTATGAGTTGTTAAGCACTTGCGACACTTTTTGCCTTTGCATACTTCTCTCTCCATAGCAAGGAAGCCCAGCCTGCCTCTTGTGTGTCCTTAACAGTGTGTCCAGTCTCTGTGACCTTTGGCATCGTCACTGGAAAGAGGGATAGAATTAGAATTACCTTAGAGAACATAGCCCACACTTGGCTATGTGGAGGGCCTCTGTTTCTGCAGTACTTGGATAGTGGGGGTGGGCAACAGGGTGAGTTCCCCCAAAGAAGTGAGTAATGTTAAGGTCAGGGAGAGAAGGAGAGACAGGATACTGATAGAGCAGACAAAAGAAAAAGCCAGGGTCCGACGTCGCTGCGCCGGCGAGGGACTCGGAGGGCCTGGGCCGGAGCTGGACGCGCAGGGTCGCTGGCGAATTTCAGGATGACTGACACTTCTGAAGCTATTCCAAACTTTGAAGAGATGTTTGCAAACAGATTCACAGAAGATGATAAAGAATACCAGGATTATTTGAAACGCCCCCCTGAATCCCCTCCAGTTATTGAAGAATGGAATAGCAGAGCTGGTGGGAACCAAAGAAACAG